CTGGTATATGTACCAACCAGCAACACTGATAAAGTAGCAGATTAAGTATCGTATTCTAAGAAGCGGGTACCGAAGTTCATTAATTCCTCGTGGTAAGTGCATGTCCTCTAGGATATACGACGTAGCATCGTGGCACAGATTCTGACCCATTTTGTTTACAAGTAAATCAGCAGCACTCAGGTATCCAGTGAAAATGGTGTTTTTGTTCTCTCCATGCCTTTTCATTCTGCGGGCGAAATACCAGACCTGGACACCATATGTTTCCCAGGTGAAGAGTAACGAAACAGTCGTCGCTTGCGGCGTCGGTTTACTGTGCACTGTCTACTGTTTCGTACTTTCACACATTGTGGTCGTGATCGCGACATTTGGCACTGACCGAAATCGTGGTTCACCTCGATGCAAGTCGCAGTTGATATGCTTTCACGCGAGGAGTGCGTCACCCGAAAGTGTATGAACTGCTTTGCGTTGCACAATATCCCCAGTTGGAACTTTTGTTATTGGAGCCGAGTTGATGGAAACTGGTGGTCGTCGTAGGCAGGACTATCTACGAATGGAAAATGCATGTTTTATTCTATACAGATCAGGAAGTGATTCACTCGCAATAACAAATCGTAACTCACAGGCATTCATTAATTGACTCGTTCTGGTATTTCTGTATCAGTCGTTAAGGTTCATCAAGTCCATACTTGTGTTACGCACCAATGAGTGGCAACACGATCGTAGGGAAGGCTGCGGTGGAGGTTTACGAACGATTTCCGAGTTTCACAACCTTTACCACCACCTTTCTTACGTCAAATTAGATCATCTCATTCTAGACACTGATTTGCTTTGTGGAGCTTTTTGATGTTACAAATTGATGTGTTGTTCTTGGGAATTACGGACCAAGGAGTTGTGTCGGTACTATTCAGTATCATCTTTTTTATCCTGCTTTTTTGACTTAATCGTAATATAAGTTACTCAATTAGTGTTTCTGCCGAAAGTACCTGTATTCTTTATACTGTTGGGTGCCCCTGGTATTCTACTCAGTATCAGTAGCACTTTAGAGATGTGCCGAATACGGGACGTTAGAAAAAATGGAGGCAGCTGGATCCAACATATTTTGTACAGGCTCCAAGGAATGGGAAGCGAATCAACGAAGACCAGGAACAGTATAGCACGGAGACAGTTTGTTAAAACGGATGTGAAATCAGTACAACAAATGGAAGTTCGAGGGGTTCATATAATATTAAAATTCGGTGTTGTACAATATTTTAAGAGTACCTTTTCAGGTGCACTGCAAGGACCTCCCCCTAGAGAACTGAAGGACAGAAGCCTTCGATAAAGCTGTCAGGATGAACAGAATAAGTGAGGGTGGGCGCAAAAATTAACGCGGCTATTCAAACAGAGACGAATAGCCGAGTTCGTTGGATCCATGCTTCTGTTATTATTTTCGTGTGGACCGGAGTACAACGTCGGAAGGTCGTCGGTATGTGCTCGTCGAACTGCAAATTACTGGGCTAGTCCATAAAAAAGGCCGACAAGTCACTTCCTCCATGGCAAACTCGACGATGCGCTTGATAGGTGTCACCCCCTCCCCATCGCACCCCAGCCTACGGTCCTCGTCCCAAGAAGAAATCCGGGCATCTTTGTCGGCATTACGTAGCCAAGCATTTGGATTCGAATCTGGTCGTAGCCGTTTGATGTCAAGGGCGACTGGTCCTCGCTTGAGTCAGCGAGTGGCCTTAAGCCGGTTGGGGTGTAACTCCAGGGTTACCCTGGCAGTTTCTGTGGTTGATTTTCCGGAAGTTAAGAAGATCCAAGATACCTCCTTAACAAGCGCGGATAACACGTTGTAGTGCGTGATCGTATACACTTTATCATCCTCTTCCTCACGATATTCCGCATAACATACATAGTCAAACGTTAGAGTCACTTGGTCACTGCGACCCTGTGGTGCGCTTGTAATTATTCCGTCGCCCATGACTTCTTCGTTGGCGAGCACATGATCAAGTATCGACGGCTTGTTAGCAGTTCGAAATCTGGTGGGAGAAGTCACTTGGTTGTAAAGTGAATAGCTGGAAATTACCTCCTGTAAACAGACTTTGAACTGCATGCCACCGGTCGCCGCTATTTTCAGATCGCGCACATTCAAGTCGCCTGCGATGAGAATGTGACTATGTCTTGCTCAAAGCAACCTGAAGAACGTGGTTTAGTTTAGAGTCCATTTCACACATAGGTTTGGTGGACGGTAAATCACAGCTATAAGACATGTGTCTTTGTTCCGCAACCATATTCGGCATCAAAGCGAATCTGGCGCACGGATCTCTGGGTGGTAAATTAGTTCACATCGGAGGTTAGTCTTGTAATACAGAATTGCGCCACCACCTCTTCCAGCTCTGTCATTCCGAAGCAGCGACATACCAAGTAAATTGATTTCAAAATCTGCGATCTCAAAGCTTAACCAGGTCTCCGTAATCATAATGCGATCCCGCGGTTTTGACGCCTGACGTTCTCTTAGTTCGGTCAACTTACTAAGAAGACCTTGGGCGTTGGTATACAAACATGATAGTGTTTTGATGTTAAAAGTGTGTGGATGGACAACCAATCCGTGTTTACTTTTAAGCGGACCGTTCGTTGGTCGGCAGCTAATGGTTTTTTGCTTGAGACATTGGTTCTTGAATTTCAGGCAGGCCGTATGTTGGCATGGAGTATCCCAAATCGAGATGTTCTCTGGTGTGTCTCCCTGCTCCGTCAGGTGCCACTAATGCCATGTTGTCTACAACTGTGGGATCGTGGAGCAATCATTTTACTGAGGTTACATGTTTTAACGAAGTGCTGAAAACTAGTGGCCGTGCGCCTGCTATCCTTAGCTTAATCTCGGTAGGCAATCTGGAGCTATCTAATACGACTTCTGTCATTCCATCGGAGTGTAGCACGACTTTCATTAATAATGGACCGCAGTTCTTGTAGTTTGGAAATGAAGGAATTCTCGTCAGTGATTTAGCGATAAGGTGACCCAGAGAGGGTGCTTCGCAGATCTAGCACCACTGTTTTCGGTCATGTTTTTGCGCTTCGTGATCAAGAGAGCCCAGTGGTTCAAGAACATCATGAACAATTACGATTTTCTTGCTCCATTCATAGAAGGGCCGTAATGGTTTTCTTTTTCCTTCGACCATCCTTTCCAAGGCGTATCTAGCAGTATGCGTACCCCGCTCGATGAGTTGCGAAGATGAACTACTGAATGTAGAACTGTGTCTCATCAGTTGAATTAAAGGTTACTCGAAGAAATCAGGGTTCGCCATAGTGCACTGAATTTGGGTGACGCGCTACGAATCGTAGCCCAGTTGGCTCAACCCGAATACCAATCGCATCGCAGATGGAATGTCACTGGTTGCGATCATCTGTTAACTGGCCCTTTATTGTTCCAGATCTAGACTCAGTAACGTTAGTGCAAACGACCGTTAAGGCACTGTGGTTCTGCCTAGCTAATGTCGGTTTGCGTGTTTTTTGGCGGGCGCTAAAGAATGTTGAAAAAAAGGCGTCGCGTCGCTCGTGCTTGGTCCAGAGAATGGACGTACGGGTTTCTCTTTAGGCGTTTTTATCGAGGCGATCGATGCGTATATTATCCGGCGCTGGACTGTCGGTGTCGGTGTTGTGACCAACTTGTGAGATGTGGCATCTAAGGATGAGTTAAAAGCAATCACGCTGGATGTGGCTTGCCTACTTAAAGGGTTAGTAATTGTCGGAGTAGATGGCGCAGATACCATCGAGCGGTTAGCAAGCCTGACTTTAGCCTTCAACTTATGGACAGAGCTCTGAGGGATTTGCTGTAGAGCTAAAACGGTGTTGTTGACTTCTCATGACAAAGCCCTGAAGCTCGTCATCTGCTGGACTGTGACAGCCAGTTTTTCACGAGCGGTCTTATGCATTTTACTATTACACTTGCTTTGCATTTTTGGCAAAGCCAGAGCGAATCAATCAGGTTGATTTGTCTCTTGTATTGTAGTTGACTAAAACCAGCACAGATGGGGTGGAACGGAAGGCCGCAAAATTCACAAATAATGTCTCGTCTAACTGGGCGTGTACACTTTTGCTTATCACATTTACGGTTAAGTGGAATCAATTCCATTGAGGGCCGTTGTTGCAAAGGAACGCTGCTCTTTTCTCCTCACGTGAGTTAGAGGGTGAGTGACGCTCGCGTTCTTCGTTCCGGTTACCGTAGGTGAAAACTTTACGACGAGGACACACGTACACGGAGTTTGGCTAGGTTATTGACCAACACTGGTTCCTGTAGGACAAAGTCATTGGAATTGGCCTGTAGTGCGTGGATGACAGTGAAAAGTGCCAGCGATCGGCGAATGCAATTGCGACCACAGATTAAGTCGTAGCTTCGTTAGAAATGATTCTATGGATGTACTTCTATTACCAACAGATAGCGCGGAGAATCCTTGATCGACCACAGTGTCACGGCATTGAAACTGTTAAAAACATTAGAGTGGCACGTCTGCATAGAAGCACGAAGCGCGCTAAAACAACTTGGGTAGCACAAATCACTTTCCGTAGAAAATAATTCCGCAAAAATATGCCTACCGAACACGGGGCGTTAATCTGATTCGAATGAGTGTATGATGACTGCGCTAGGTGCAGAGCAAGTCGTGAAACTCTGTCACAGAGGAGAGCATGTTTACCATGCGAAGATATATGATTTGGGATCAGCGTATACCTTGAAAGTGTGGCCTTCTATTCGGTGCCGGATTTGACGAATAGTTAATTAGATAGCATGTAGTTCTCTACCAAACTTGCTGTAACGGTATTCCGCTGGCCGTAATCGTTTTTAGAAGAAACCGAGAAGTTGCCATTGCCCATCAATGTGTGGTTGGAGAACAGCTCCTACCGTGACGTCTGAAGCATTACAAATAGCGGGAGAGCGATGTTGGAGATAGCATGCTTGAGTTCGGCAAAGACTGTGCTGTGTCTGAATAGGAGAACTTGCCTTCATTTCCTTTGAGTAGGTCATTGTTATGACTGCTTCTGAGACGCGCCGCGTGTATAACGGACTGGTACGACTCGTAGTCGAGTTAACGCACTCGGGACAAATGCTACATCTCATGGATAAGATAGCCGACAGAATACGAACTTGCACGCCCGGAGACTTAGATGCAACACGCTCCTACACGCACGTTAAACGGTTGCCGGTCGGACGCAAACTTCACACTCGACTACGCAACCTAGATAAGAGTACGAACGAGGACGCGTTTCGCCCTAGGCAAATTTACGCGCCAGGTCAAGTTGATTACAGCGCAGTCCAGCTTTGCTTATATACCACGATTGAAGAAGAATTCGCGTAAGCAAACCTTGAAGCAAAATAATTGGCACCATATAGATTGACACTGGAACATGTAGAAAACTAAATGTTGGTGCCTGCTGTGGCTGAAGAGGAAAATTAATGTTTCTTTGATAACAAAGCTGAAATGTTCATGTCGCGGAAAGTCAGCTAGAAACAAAACCGATTTTTTGGTACTAAGACTATGTTGATTGTCGTGGAGGTTGGCCGGAAACAGGTGCAAAAGCCGATCGAACATGTGCACTCGTCTACTGCGCCTCTCAGCGGCTTACGTAACTTCAAGCTTTTGGTCTTATGGTGGACGTTGGATTCTCATAACAGTCAGTCAAAAGTTGCATGATTTGAACACAGCGAGGAATGAAGCGTCGATAGTAGTTGACTGGAACTCAAAATCGACGGAGATGCTTGAATGTGGACAGAGCTGGGAAGTTCTTGTTTGCTTGGGTCATATCAAGAAGAACTTCGATATCGGACGATGAAACGAGGCGACCTAGGAATTATACCGTCGACTTGCCTAGTTCGCATTTAGTCGGGTTAATTGTGACACCGTGTTTGGCCAACCGTAGTAATGCAGCTCGAAGGTGGTCGATGTGCTCTTTTCCGACTAAATGACTACCAGAATGCCATAGATGTAGTAATAGGCGAAGTCAATATCCCGAGTAACATCGTGCATGAAAACTTGGAACGTTTGTGCGACCTCGCGCAGTGGAAAGGCATTCTTAAAATTCAACAAGCCGAAGTGAGTGATGACAACTTCCTTAGGAAGCTCCTTTTCTTCTACAGGTCTCTGGTGATAAGCGTCACCCAGATCGATCTTACTGAAGCTCGTCTTACTTGTGATGCATTTGATGAGGTCTTGTATGTGTTGGATGAGGTACTAGTCCGGGACGGTTAACCTATTGTGTGCGTGTTAGTCAACGCAAGAGCGCCAGTCACCAGATTTCTTAGGAACCGTCTGTAGTTGGAAAGACCAAGGACTGTCGGAAGGACGCATTATCCCGAGTTCGAACATGTGCTCAAAGCGCTCTAGCTATCTTATTTTTATCTGTTGGTAGCCAGCATGAACGAGATGAGACGGGTGGTCCATTTTCCCGAGTGGGATGCGTGCCTTGAAATGTCACGGGCGGAGCTGCGTTCACTGACTGAGCGAGCTTGGTGCTGGGAGAACAGATTGACGTAGTCTGGCGAGGTCTGGGGAAAGGCCGGGGTGATAGACGCGATGTCGTTGTGGATACTACGCACACTGAGTTTCTTTTCAGCATCGACTATCATCTGGCGTTTCGCATCGACCAAGAGATTGAAATGCTTGACGAAGCCTATGCCGATGATGGCTTATGGGACTGTAGCAACGGAACTTGCACCGAAGACCTAGGTTATGTGTCAGCGACCGTTGACCGCATCTTGCTATTTTACCGCCATTGGCGGCACTTAGACTTGTCGACAGAGGCGGTCGGCTCACTTAAAATAGGTAGAATAACACTGACTTCCGCCCCACTGTTCTGCCGACATCGTTGGTTGTCATAACAGGCATGCGTGAGAAGTCACCTGCAGCGAAGAAGCCACATGGCTGTTCGCGCGCGCGCGCACACACACACACACACTATGCACGTTAGTTAGAAATGGGAAAGCTACCGTGCCGCAATACCTAAAAGAAAAAGGGAATGAAATGCGACAGGTGCAAGCCAGCTGAGCTACCGGTAACGGATGGACATCGTTCCGGTAAGTTACCAGCCGGCTGCTATGCAGCAGAAAAAGCAATAATTTACTATGCGAAATTATAAAATGCTACATAATGAGATCGTGCTTGGAGGGGGAGACTAAAGGCGATGGGGTGGGACAAAGAAACTCACAACACGAACGCCATTGAGGGCGGCTCCTAGCCATGTCATCAAATGTATCCAGCCAAACGTATTCATCGTCTTGCGGACCCCAACCAGGGAGCCGAGACGCTCCAACTAAAGCCAGCTTCGAAGTGAGGGCCTTCATTCCTCTCGAACAAGTCATCGCTTGGCCACCCCTCCTCTTCTTCCATCCACACCCTCGGCGCGCAAACAACGCACATCACAAGAGTTGGTGGACTGGCATGCGTAACACGTGGCCTAGCCATCGGAGCCTGTTGGGTGAAATAACGGTGCTGAACTATTCATTTCCTTTTCCTGTGTCGTAAACATGGCGTCGAACACGCTCGTTGCTTACTCGGTGTTCCTACCAGATGTGAGCTAAATTGCGAAGGCACCGGTGGTCGAACGTAACTAACCTCCTTAGGTCCTTTGATATAAGGGGCCACGTTTCACAACCGTACAGTAGGGTCGAATGTGCCGCTGTATTCTACGCTCTACCATTCAGGGCGAGAGTGATGTCGCGCCGGCGCCATAAGTGGTGAAGATTAGCAAAAGCGCCTCGAGCTTTTGCTATACGTTTTGTGATCTCATCTTCAATCCCAAGGGCGCTGATAGAACTTCCCAGGTAGTTGAATTTTTCTAGGACATCTAGCTGATCCCCACCAGAGGTCAGCGAAGGAGGCGGTCCAGGCCAATCTTGGAGGAACGCTTTGCAGTTCGATGGTGCAAAGCAAAGCCCGAAGCGGCTGACAGGCATTGCTAATCTGTCTCGTGCCATTTGGCACGTCTGGGAGCTGTCACAGATTAGGGCAATATCGTCAGCATAATCCAAGTCAAGAAGTCGTTCTCCTGGGAGCAAATCCACACGTTCTAAGTCGTGTCCTGTGAACGCGATTTCCATGACTTCATCAATAGCGAAGTTGAAGAGGAAAGGTGACAGCTGGCATCCTTGTCTCACCGCTGGAGATATTAAAGAGCGTTGACAGCTTGCCGTAAGCTCTCACTCTACCCGTGCTACGCGCTTATAATGCTCGGATAATATTTACATATTTCTCAGGTACACCTTCCCTGAGTAGATAGTCCCAAAGTGCCTGTCTATCCACCGAATCGAATGCAACTTTGATGTCAAGGAACACGACAGCGGTGGGCCGGCACTATGTGTGACGGTGCTCAAACAAATGATGCAAAGTGAAGATGTGGTCAATGCAGACACGACCTCGACGAAACCCGGCTTGCTGTTCCCAAATATGGTTTTCACGAGTGCCGGTCAGTCTGTGAAGGATGACAGAGGCAAGCAATCTAGAGGCGATGGAGATCAGACTGATTCCTCTATGGCTGCCGCATTCCGAACGGGAGGCTCCTTTGAAAATTGGGACTATGACGGAGCGGCTCCAGTCGGTTGGGACAGTTTCCTGCTCCCACAGTTTCACTAGTAACTCGTATAAATCATCTACAAGAGCAGGTCCCTCGAATTTGAAGAGCGCTGAAGGTAGTTCACTTGGTCCCGCGGCTTTATTTAACTTCAGCAGTTTGATCTCATGTTCGACTTCTGAGTGAGAGGGTGCATCCAAAGTGACAGCCCAGGGGTTAGGGTGATCGGTGGTGGGCGAAAAATCTAACGATTCCGATCGATTAAATTGCCTTTCAATGTGCTCAGCCCAACTCTGTGAGCATTTTGACAAGTTGTGGATAGGCTGTCCACTCTCGTCACAAATTGTTTCACTAACACCAAGTCTTCTGCTGCCGGTTTTCCGGATCGGTTGGAATATCTTACGATGGTTTACCAAGGGCAGCGGCCATTTCCATCTCTGTTGCACCATGAGACCACCAGGATTCGCGGTCTCTCTTCAGCCTAACACAGAGTTTTGCCAGGAGCTCTTTGCGAGTTTCAGTGTGTTCGCTTCCAGCCGGAATATGCCTTCGAGCATCGGTAAGTTCCAGAGGCTGCGAAGAGACCCAATGTCCATGTTGGCGATTAGGCATACCACATTAGGATTTTTCTGCTGCAATTAAGGTCTGGTGGATATGGGACCAGTGAGCTTCAACTGCATCCGGTGAGCGCTTACTCAACTCGCATGATAGCGCACTTTGATACGCATTCAGGACAGTTGACTGGTGTCAATGCGCTCACAACGTCGTCGTGAGCGTCCGCCAAAGCGCATCGGCAGGTCAGCACATACAAGTGCATGGTCGGTGTCTACACATGTGCTCCAAATCGAGCGGCTGTTCTGCACGCAGCCTATCCATCGGTGACTTATGGCAATGTGATCGGTTTGCGTCCATAGCTGGTTCAAGGCTGTTGGGCGCCAAGTCACCGTCCGGCGGGTGCTGTGTCGGAAATTAGTGCTCGCAAGAAATAAGCGAGCATCTTCACACAAATGAAGTAACCGCCAACCGTTATCATTACTGGAGCCTACACCGTGCTGACCGCCCAGATGCAGTTCATCAATTGACAGTTCTCCAACTTAAGCGTTTAGATCTCCAGCCAGAACAACAATGTCCGTGATTCCTCTGTGGCGAAGGAGCTTGTTCAGTTGGCGCTATAAGTCCTCTTTTCCTGAATCATCGCTAAACTTTGTGGGTGCATAGGCAGCGATAACAAACAGGCACCTGTTAGTTCAGTGCGACTTCGAAGCTTTGAGCGAGCCAGCCAATCGGACCGCACACAACCGGCTACTGATTGGAATTCAGTCAACCAGAGCAGCTTCAGCCCGGAGACTCAGGGAATACCAACACCGGCTTGGCCAGTGCTCGTAGCTGTATCGTCAGCGGATAGGCGTAATAGGAATGTGCTGCTGGTGTCACCTAAAATGGATCACAAAGCGAGCACAGAGCTTGAGTCTTGCGGACGGGTCTCCGATAAACAGCAGATATCGATCGAGAGGATCTCTAATGTTCGGGCACGTGCTGCCTGTTGACCGATTTGTAGCAATGTGCTTACATTAAGGCATGCCAATCTGAGGGATGATCGAGGGCTTCAAATGGAAGTCTATGAACTGGGCTTGGCAGCTTGGTTGGGCATGGGCTTGTCGACAGGACAGTAATGACGCTCCGCGTTCACATGTGAGTTGAAACTAGGACGTATAAGCCTAGCAATGCAGGGTGGGGTGAGCCAGGAATTGGGGGGTTGAAAACTGGGGGATAAAAGTGAAGCTGG